GAAAGTGTCGAGGTCGAATTTTAGGATAATTGGATGTCAAAAAGTGCAAAAACACCTCGTAGCAGTGAAGTGAAGGCGTCCAGGAAACAGCCGCAGTTCATGGCCAGACAAGGCAGTTCACGATCTCCTTAGACCGTCAACATGGACCACAAACCGTGAACATCGAGCAGTCCAACAAGATTTCAGAAGTTACTGACGACAAGGCAGTTCACAGTCTCTAAGACCGTGAACTGTGGCCATTGACCGTGAACCCAGGATAGTGAAGTGGTGCGTTTCGGACGATGCTGAGTTCACGGACGCGTTTGGGTGTTCACGGTCGTGAACTGGCCAACGCGTCCGTGAACTTATCGCTTTCCGGCAAATATGAAGACAAAAGCCGGGAGAGAGAAAGGAGAGCTGGTTTTTTGGAGAAGAAACATTTTCTTTTTCTAGGGTTGTCAACCTAAACACCAAAGGGGAGTTCTAGTGAGAGAGAGAGAGAGAGAGAGTGATCTTGGAGCATCATTGGAGGCTTGGGTTGGAAGATTCAAGCCTAGAAGGAGAAGGAGAAGATCTTGAGCTCAAATTTGTAATCCCTCTCTCTGTCTCTAGAAACTCACTCTTTTCTTTTGGGTGTTGTAGATCCCTAACTAATACTTTGTAATTACTTGTTTAGATTGAATGATTAAGTGTGGGTTTGCATCAATTTGAGTATTAGAGGTGTTTTCATGGTGATTTTGCATGCTCGTGGTTAGCAACCTAGGGGTTGTGCATAATTGTGCTTAGCACCCATAGGTTTGTGCCTGTAGGTGCTAGCAATCTAACTAGCCACCTTATCCTAGCTTAGAGAGGAAAATCCCCCTTCCGAGGGAGACTCAATCGAGTTGGTTTTCCTTTCGCTTTCTGAGCTACCTAAACTAGGTTAAGTTAGGGCAACCCTCAATCTTGAGTTAAGCAAATCGGTTAATCGCGATTAAGCCGTCCGACCTTAGAGTTGAGTGAGGGAGTAAGCCGATTACCGATTGTCTAAACCGAGAGGGTCGAGTGACACAGCCTTTCATGCTTACCTTGGTTTAGCAATTGAGACTGTGGTCTCCAACGACATACGCTTTCCTCTGCGGTTCGCGGTTACCAGTTTGCATCTTGGTTGGTTGTGATTAAGCCGCTCAAACTCCGGTTTGGGGGAGAGACCTAGGCAACCACTAGTGACCGAGCGAGAGGATCGATCCCGTGACAAATCGACCTCCAGTGAATCCATCCCATGACAAATGGATCGCTAGTTTCTCCTCCTAGTGGTTCCCCTAGACTTGGTGAGTGGATCGATCCCGTGACAGATCGATCGCTAGTGAATTGATGTCGTGACAGATTGATCACTAGTTGCTCACCACCCGTGGTTCACAACCACCTATGCCACACGACTCCATTCAATCCAACGATTCACGGTAGCTAGTTAGGGGGAAGTAACTCCTGGGTGAAGCTCCCTTAGTTAGGATTTTCTTTTATTTACTTTTCCTTGATAGTTTAGTTTGTAGTTCCATTAGTTATAAACCCAAAAGTTGCTTGCTAGATAACAACCTAAGCGATTGAAGCAGTGGCGCAGCTAGGATTTCGTTTAAGGTGGGTCCACCTCGAAAAAAATAAATATGATAAAATAGTTTTTTTAAATATAATCTTATGTTGAAAACTGTTAATAAATTAAAATGCATTAGCAGTCGAAAATATCAAGAATATCACTCTGCATATATACCAAACAATCATTGATTTAGTTAGTCGTAGTGTTTCAAATGGTGTTCTTTGTTAAGAACCGTCAGTATCAATACCTCGAGTTGTTGATAGAGGTTTAATAATAAATCTTATACCAACCAATAATTCATGATTTACCTAGTCGTTCGCTTTCGAATGGTGTTCTTAAAAAAATATTTAGCATTAATAAATCGAGTTGTTGGAAGATTTCAATAATATATATTATACCATTTACTACCATGCTCCCTTATAAGAAAGTCAACTTATACGAAATTGATGTTTGCACAAATCTGTATATCGTATGCTTAAGAAATGAGGTCGCCAAGATTCAAACACAAAACTTTTCGACCAACTATTCTCAATTAAACGCGACCTAGTTTTCGATATCAATTAAATACTTACTATTTACTACACCCAACTAGAGTTTAAAAAATTAGGCTCTAATCGGAATTAATTTGTGGTGTAATTTCGTGCGAGTTACCAACACACTTCTCATTTTTCACGACAATTCTTCTACTGTGAGAGTTATTTTGTCATACAACTTTCTTCATCATTCCTGCCATATCTCACTAATCATCATATTCCACACCATTTTGCCCACCTTACATACTTTGAAACATTCCACTGCTTCCAACATTCCATCCTGCCAACCTGCATCTAGCCTATAGTTCCGGGAACCAGGAAACATAGAACCTAGCTACCACCCGCTGTAAAAAAAAACACAACCGAAGAAATATGATCACGAGATTATGGAAGTGTCAAGCATAGTAGACATGTGAGGTTTACAAACGCTGGCCATTTTTGTATCTTGTCTAGAGTTTGATTTCCATCCAATTGAACCTGCCAGTAGATAAAGAATTTTTTTGGAAATGTTTTATGGTTTCTATACTAATTGGAACCAAGGCACTCTACTACCTCTTGGCCTTATCTGATCCCAAATCTTCTTAAGAGAGTATTTTGGGCATGATTTCTCCTTTCCAAAAAACACCCACAGAATATTCTATATGTCCATCAATATAAGACCAAGCTTTAAGTACCTTATTCCAAGTCCATTATCCAGGAATGCTAACCTGATAGAAAGTGACATTCCTGAGTCTATATTCCTTAACCCCATACATTCCAAAAAGAATTGGTATCTGTCGGGCTAGACCAAGTATGCCCGATTACACAGGTTGTATTCCAACTCTTCATACAATTGAAGCCAAGTACCCCTTCTTTCTTTGGTAAAGCAACTAGATTCCAAGAAACATTTGGTTAACCCGATTAATCAATTAACCAAATTGATTAAACTTTAGTTTGATTAATTTGGTTGTTTTATTAATTTGCTCAGTTTGGCTATGATATTGTATTTCATAGTTAATAAATTTTAGACTTAATTGGTTTGGTATCATTGTAACCATTTGAAAACCCCTAAGTATGTTATTCCTCTGGGCCTTTTATTGTATTAAAATCACCTAATACCATCCACAACTTATACCGAAGCAAATTACAAGGAGTGGTTCGAGTCCATAACCTTATGATCAATAATCATGCATAACTAACACATCACTGCCACATCAACATTTATTGAAGGACCCAACAATTTTCCCCTATAAACTTTAACAGGAAATATCTCTTTCTTTTTAAGTCATAACTTTTTTTTTTTTTTTTTGCATACACTGCCACATCAACATTTATGGAAGGCCCCTAACAATTTTCCCCTATAAACTTTAACGGGAAATATCTCTTTCTTTTTAAGTCATAAATAGATAAATAAGATAAATTGTACTCTTCAAAATTATATCCACTTTGATATTTTTTTTTTAAACAAAAGTTGAGACAGTTAGTATTATTCTATACCATAGCAGTACTGTTTGGTACCAATGCAGTCAAAATCGCGCTTTAAACTTAAAAACTTACACTTTTTACATTTTGAGTTTTTTTAAACGCTTCTACATAGCATCGTGCTTTTTCTTTACAATGGTTGTCAAAACCTACGCTTTAAACCTTAAAATCTTATGTTTTTATGTCTAGGTCATCAAAACCCTTCTACTTAGAATCACGATTTTGATTGCATTGCTTGGTACTACATAAAATCATACTACGTGATACTCAAGTGTATCATGTAGTATGAACATACCACAACGTATAATGGTCGAATACATGATAATAAAAATATACAAACTGTCATTGCCACATTCATCATTGTGTACCACTAGTTACCAGCACTATACTAGGGTGGTACAAAGTTATACGTTTTTGTCCTGTATTTTCTTAGTAATGTTTGGTACCAACGTAGTCAAAATCGCGCTTTAAACGTAAAAGCTTATGCGTTTACACTTTGAGATCATCAAAACGCTGCTACGTAGCATCATGCTTTTTCTGTACAAGTGTTGTCTAAACCTACGCTTTAAACCTTACAATCTTACGTTTTTATGTCTATATCATCAAAACACTTCTACTTAGAATCACAATTTTGATTGCATTGCTTGGTACTACATAAAATCATATCACGTGGTACTCAAGTGTATCATGGTAGTATGGACATACCACAATGTATAATGGTCGAATACATAATAGTAAAATATACAAACTGTCATTTACCACATTGATCATTGTGTACCACTACTTACCATCCCTATACTAGGGTGGTACAGAGTGATAGGTTTTTGTCCTGTATTTTTTTTTTAACTTGTCTATCCAATAGATCATGAAGATTTCGTTCCATCTATGCAAAAAAATTTAAAATTCTGAGTTAAAAACAAAGTTGGTACCAATGTGGTAACCAGTTGTATGAGTTGGTATGAAATTTTTTCTCATAATATGTTGAATTTTTTTTCTCATCCTTAGACCAACTTCAATGCTAGTCCCCAAATTTGGGAATTATCCCCATTTTCATCATTTTTGCTCCAATGCTACCATTTCCAAATTTGGAGAGCTCCCATTTTTCTTATTTTTCTTTATTTAAAAATCTACTTATGATCATCTTAATCTAATTTGGTCATGTCAATTTTTGTATAGTTCGTTATCATTTTTTAATACAAAATTTTTTATGAAATTTTTTTAAATTCCATGACCGAATATTTTTCGACAAAAAATGATTGGCCTAATTTTTATTTACACACAACACTTGAAAATTATTGATCTAATTAAACTCAATAAAATAATAATAATAAAATCCAAGTGACGGTTCGGTGATAACCGCCAGCCGGGCAGTCCCTAAAAATGTCAGAAATCGCCATTTCCAGCGCCATTTGTGCCGAAGCATATAACGAATATCGCCATTTTTGGCAATTCCCCCAAATTGAAGAACTTCATTGGAGTCCGCCTTATATATAAATTTTTCTGAGGCCACTCAAATCTAAAGATCAAGATCTAGTTATAAAATGGTGCATATCAAACCTAAAGGTTATACACCCAATCATAGCCCAAATTACAATTCAATTGTCCCCGTGCACATCTACATATTGCAAACCTATATAAGGAAACAGTAAACCACAAGCCCAAAAGGTGTGGTCTGATTAGCTAAAGCCAAGGGAGGCACCTAATGAATTGGCCAGTTGAAAAAAGAGTGAGAAACGGCCACAATCCGGTAAACAAAGCCCAATTCGGAAGCCCTAGCTCAACCCCTATTCTTTTGATGGAGTAGAATGCTAGTGACGTGAATTTACAATGACAGAAAACGCAGCTACTAGATACTTGTCCAGAACAAGGCAAACGGAAGCTAAAACAAGAACCACTTTCCAGGAAGTGATGCGAACAATTAAGAAAAGCTTCACATACTATCTACATAATAAACAACGAACCCAACAACACAATCAAATAACTCCTAAACAAGAGCTATACCATACTCCGGCCTTTTTACTGAAACAACCTCCAAAACCAAAATATAACCTCCATTCTCGAAAGGCTTTTAAAAGCAAAATACATAACACAGAAACAAAACATCCAATCCCACATAAGAAAATCTTCTCGCCAATCCAACGACAATGTATGGCAAACAAAAACAGATTGATCAGCTTTGCAAAACAGAATCCATAACAAAGTCTCTATCTCGAAAAACTGGCAGCTAAAATGCAATACCAAAACGGGATTCATACTACTATTCTCTTTTCTACTTTTTCTCTTCCTTGGCAGCCTCCTCAGCCTTCTTCAGTCTAACACCATAGTGACGCTGGTTGGTCCGCTCGAGTCTGAGCTTGTCATAGGCCTTGAATGACTTCATGTCACCAGTAATCTTCACAAGCTCAACCGATGGAGTCTCGCGTGCAATCGGCATGAACTCTCCCTGGACTTGAGAAGCAGTAGCCATTTCCTCAGGAGCAGAATCGCCAGCCTGCGAAGACAAGTTGATAAAGTTTTAGTGTTCATACAGCTTAGTAGTGTAGAACCTTAAGCATCCAGAAAACTTCATAGGGCATGTTGTTATGTTGATAAGAATTAAGCATACACTGTGTTTGTTTCATAATGCATACAACAGAGTAGCCCCATCATTGCAAAAACAGTGGAAATCACTTGGACAATTTATACATGCCTATATCAAGTAATTTCACTTGCTGTGCCACATACACATAATCAATCCACTGCTAAACATACAGAATAACTCATGTTTGAAGTTCCCAAAAACAAAAGCTTTACCTTGGCTTTGCCAGGACGCCTTGGGAAGACAACCAACTTGGCCTTGTAAGTCTTCAGCCTCTGAACATTGACCTGCATACCCTCAAGGGACCTGTTCTTCCTGCGGTGATCAACAGCAATTCCAATGGTTGGTGCTAGCTTCTTCGGGATCCCAGCAGCCTAACCACAGAAAGGAAAAGAGTGAATCAATCCACACTACCGCAATTTCTCACTGCAATAAAACTGTAGCCAAGACAAGCAAAACACAACATGTTATACCTTGAGCTCCTCGAGAGTGAACCCTCTTCCAGCCTTCAACTTCATGTTGTACTTCAATGTCTGCCCATGGACAATTGGCCGAAGAGGTCCAGCAGTAGGCCTAGGGAAGATCTTCACTGCCTTCTCCTGACGAGCTGGGAGGAAGCACAAAAACAAGCCAGCCCAAAAGAAAACGAATCAACACGAGGACAAAAACAACAATAACTCTGTTTCAGATAACCACAATTATTGAACTCCGTCTAGTTATACTACTACTGATCAAACATAGCACATTTCGTGATTTCTCATTACACACCGACTTCAAACCTAACTGGTTCCTACTGAGTAGGGAACAAATTAAACAAATAGCGCAAGCCAAAAGAACACTGACCAGCGCGTCTGCGGGTCTTCCTCGCCGGCTGATTGAACCATGTCTTGACATAGTTCTGCCAGTGCTTCTTGAAGTGACCATTAGGGATAACATTGTTATGCTTCATGGCGTCTCACCTGCAACAATACGGAGCAAAATAACAAAGACACTCAATTTAGAACGGGAGCCGAAGGCACTCATCGCAAAACGAACCAAACAAGTGGAAATCAAATGAATACTGGCACTTTCAATGGAACTGCATACAGATTCAGAATGAAGTTGAAATGGGGAACGAGTTAAGAAACAATAATACAGATGCTGCAAGTTCGCCAACAATCGATGCGGCGAAGGAAAAATACCTACAGGGCGCGCGGCTTTCTCCCTTTCTTCACTACCCTAGGATTTGCTCTGGGGAACGGCTGCTTGCTGTTTCAGTATTAGGGTTTTGTGGGGGTGCGAAATACCACATTTATATGAGAACGGGGAAGGGAAGAGGGAGAATTGCACGCGCCGTATGGGCTTTTTAGTTGGGCTTAGGTGGAAAGGTAAGGTAAACTTTATGGGCTTGGCTGTGTAGAACCAATAGAGCCTAATTGGACTCCCAAGGCATAACTTGACCATTGCACAGAGCAAACAGAAGCAGACGGCTGGTGGTAGACAGTGGCCGATGCGGTGGCCAGTGGCTATGATCCAGCCCTTCTCTAGATCCGGAGCTAGTGTTCTTATAGGGGATGGGTTTAGTTGCTAACCCCTTAGCATCATACTAACTACTCTAACAGCCTATAGATCAAAATATTAATCCTAGTGTTAGAATTAATCAAAGGATAATTAAGTCAATATGCATCAAACCCTAATATAAATACTACTATTTTACCCTAACGGCCTCTCTCATGAACTCACGTCTCCCTGTCTCCCCCTCTCTATCAACTAATACACCCAACTCCATATCCAGCCAAATTAACATCGCCGCCAGGATTCTGCCAAGAACCGTTGAAGTTGTCGTCGTCGTCCAATCCGGTCGGACTCAACATCTTCGTCTCTCCGAGCAGTCGTGGTCGAGCGAGTTCCAGATCCAAGTCTCGCCTGTGCGAAAGCAGGAGGGGGAAGCGGTGGAGCCGGGAGTATCGATGTTAATTCTGCCGCTACGAGAAGCCCATTCTCGTCCCTCTACCTCGCCGCCGTCGCGCTCCATCGATGTCGACTCCGCAACGAGTCTGCGGCTCCGTAGCGACGCCGATGCCCCCAACGTCTCTCAACTGGCTTGATTTTACGTTGTTAATCTAATGGCTGATTATGTCGCAGCGACGCTGACGCCGATGCCGCCAGAATTATATGTAGTAGTAATATTCAGATCTGGAGGAATTTTACAGATTTGTGGTGAATATTCTCTATGGGTTTGATTTTATGTTTCTAATAGGGTTTAGTTTTAGATTAGTAGTAATTTGCATGCAGTAGTGATTTATTGGTAGGGATTATGATTAAATGTGTAGAGATTTTGATCAAGGTTTTCATAGTTATGGTAGCATATTTTTCCATTCGTAGTATTTTTATATTTTGTGGTAGTGATTCTCATTAAAAATTATCAACCGCTACAAATTAAAAATTGTTAAAACACTACTATAAGTCACCAAAATCGCTACTACGATAAATGGTTGTGGTTGTATAATTTTTGTAGTAGTAATTTTTCCTTGTAAAATGATTCATTAAAGAGACGGAATAAATATTTTAAAATGTAATTTATTTATTAAATTTAATTTGTCAAAATACCAAATATACCCCTCATAATTTTTCACCATTAGATTTAATTAAATATAATAAATGATTATCAGAATGGTTAGTACGGTGCTAACCCCTTATGGAGTTAGCACTGTAACCCGTCCCCTAGTATAGCTATTATGATTTTATTAATTTTAGTCATTCCGTTGAGTATTATTTTATAATAAAATTATGTGAAATTGAGAAAATGGGTTAGATGAACATATTCAACTCACAACACTAAATTTAGCCTAGAAATTCTAGATCCAATGATTCTCTTCTAAAAAATGTAACCTAAAAATCTAAAAGTCTAAAACGTAAAGACTAAAAAAACTATGATGTTTGTTCTCCTAAAAAATTACTAGAGCAGCTGGTGGAAATAGTGATGAACACACAATGCAAATTGATTAATCAATTGATTTGTATAGTGTTGACATTGCCCGTTTCAACAGCTACTATGGAGAAAACCGTTTCAACAATGGAACAGGTGAAATATGATTTGTGCAACAAATGAGCGATAAATTTCTCGCTGATTGGTTAACTATTTCATTTGAAGGAGAGTAGTATGATATTGGCATGGATGTAGACTCCATTATTGATGAATTCGCTATATTAAATGATCGACGTGTACAATTGATATTGTACAAAAATTATTTTTTTTAAGGTATCTAATTTTCTAATGCGGTCCAGCGCTCTACTATGTCCTGGATCCGCCGCTACTAGTAGACACCATTCTAGAAGGAAATTCCATGACCGGAATTGGGTGTTACCAGAAGCTATGACCCTATAGGCAGACTTTGGTGAAACAACTCGTAAATAAGAAGTTAGCTCTATAGTTTTATGGGACATTTGCATTCATGTAGAAGATTGGACATGTCGCGCTTATAAAATGAAGCTACCCTATGGTTCAACAATTCATCCTTTAATAATGAATCAGTTACAAAGATGCTATCCTCATCTCCAATTTCTTAACATCAACCCGAAGTTTGATTTAATGAAAAACAAAAATTGACCGTTGATATCGGCTGGAGCTCATCTAAGTACATCTAATGGCTAGATCACCGAAAACTCTGTTTTACGTATCCTGGTTGGGTAGGGATTTCCCACAGCTACCTTTGTTACACAAATTCCTTAATCAATTTGGAAACGGCTCTCCTTTTCCGTGTAGAAATTAGTAAGCGTTGATGTAACTAATCACTACTATAAATAAAACCAGTATTTAGGAAAGTCGAATGAAGTACTTGGAATTGAAAAGAAATCACAGAGGAATCGATTCTACTCATCTTTCTTTCTTTCATCGGTTTCTTTGACGGAGACCAAGCCCTGTTGACCGCCTGCCAATATGTCTACTGGCGGCATGCTTACTTCATTGTACGATGACCGCTTACGCCGCCACCTAACGTCGGTCATTCTTGAACCTCCCGGAAATGACGTTATCACGGCGTTCACTAATAGCGACGACGAATGGGAAGACATGGATGAAGAAGAAGATCACAATAAATTCACCGGGATATAATTCGTTTTCACATCAAGCTCGCGATCTTCCTCCTTCAGAAAGTCATGGCGACGTCGTCTTGAGATCACACGACCTATCCTTAGAAGATCCCGCCCGCAACCTCCCATGCTTAGGCCGCGAATTTCCCCGAGTACATAATGCCTATAAATACAATACCCATTTCACCTTTTATAGAGAGTTGATTTTGAGAGAAATTTTATGGTTCTAGAGAGAGGAGAGAGAAAAGTTGGAGGAAGGAGAAGAGAAGGAGGAGGAGCTAGGAGCAAGAAGGCATCTTCTTCAAACCCAAGTCTTCTTCTATTTCTACCATGTATCTTCTCTCCTTTATGGAGTAGTCCTCTAAGGTACTAGAGGTTCTAAATCTCAAACCTTAGTTTTAGGGTTTACTATGTATATATGGATATTTTAGGGTTTGAATGAATGAATGTGTTTGTCTAGTTGATTTTAATTTCACTCTTTCCTAGATGATGATGATTGGGTAATTTGTCCTAATATTTCCTCTTAGCCTACTTTATGCTATCACGCTAGGTATGGAGTTCTAGGGTTAGACGAGTATGCTCCAACTGGCGAGTTTAGGTTAGATGTGTGAATGGGGGGTGGGGGGGGGGGGGGGGCTATAGTGGTTGAGGCGACCGAACCCCTGCATAGGTAGCCTTCCTAAATGAAAACCGAGATGAAATCTCGGTGTGGACGGTGGATAGTGTCCATTAAAATGAGCTATAAACTTAATGCCTCGGATACGATAGCATAGATAAAAGTGAATGGAACATGGTTTTATGGGAGGCGTACTCGGAAGCGTGTGGATAACCAGGAAACCCACGAAAAAGAGCTCACTCACCACATTCGATGATCCTAAGTATCTAGATATGCATAGTGACCCTAAGCTAGGGGGAGGGATAGTTCCCCGAAGTACTTGCTTTTAGCTTTGATCAATCTCTAGACTAGTGTTTCCTCATATCCTCCACTCAAAACCTCAAAAACCGATTAACTAATTAATTAGCAACTAGGTGGGAAGTAGGCTAGGTACCGGGACCCAAGTAGTATAAGATCTTGATTACCACTATACGACAATCCCATTCTAGGTTAAACTTGGTCTAGGATGGGATAATTGTTAATACGTTTCTGATAATAACCTACATAGCTTCAAGTGAGCAGACGCTGTGCGGCCACATTTTCCATGGAGGCTGCATTCGTCACTAGTAGAAGTTGAAGGTTGGCAGCGAGACTTGTCCTTTCTGTAGGTTTCATATTTTGCCGCCGCTACAGGTGAATGCTTCTTGAATCTTGACCTCTTTGTTTTTATCTTAGTTACGAATGTAAATACATAATAATATCAAATATCAACAAAGAATATTCGAGGCTTCTTCATTTTTATTTTATGTTCATGATTCATTCCTTCATATAAATTAATTCACTCCAAGTCATCAATAGAAATCAAATGTGGCTATGCATAAACAAAACATAGATATAACAACAGTATAAAGAAAACACTGATCGAGTCGGGTCACTACGTATGCAATTCCTCAAAAAATAGATGTTATCGGCGACTCTTTGATGACTTGTCACCGACATGTTTCATCCGGTTGTCGTTTCAAATGGTTCCATTAGGCGGTCCTCGTTGCTACCAAGTACGAACAAAGAAGTAAATGCTTTCCTTGTTATCTTGAAGGCACAGAGTCTCTTCCTCATGACTCCAAAGTTCATCAAATGAATTATTGTCTATTAGGAATTTAAGTTCCTGACTTAAGTGGGCTTGCAAATTCACATCACATATATTAGCTATTTGGTTTTGATGGGCAAACTATAAGTGATCAATACATGGAGCCCATGATTACTCAAGCCCAATATGGGTCTAATGGGTGGAAACCCAATACTTGTCCACTTGGGTTTTATGGGAGCTCATGTGAAACTATTATATAAGGAGTTTGAGGTTGTGGTCCCCAATACACCAAGACAAACACTCTCATCTTCTCCCCATCTAGAAGTGAGAGGTCTCCCGTTTAAGACCTAAGGTGGCTTGGTTGAGGAAGACCTCAATACCTCCCGGGTCGTGCTCTTAGAAGTATCGTACGGCCAAAGTTCGTCTTTCATATTCCGCATCAAGATCCGGACGGTCTACATCGTGAAATCAGGTAACTCTATCAACCTTTGATAATCTGACATGATGATGAATTCCGGGGAATTACATAGAATAAAGTAAATTCTAACAAGTTGGATCAGAGATATTCATCTTTGTTTGATTATTGGGGTTTAAGCATATCCATAGCTTTTTCGAATATGTGATATGGATAATTAGAGCACTCTAGTTCTATATTTTCTTCCTTGGGATTTCTTTGGTGCGCTACTTATTGTAGGAATTTGGTGTTGAAATTAAATTTCTTGTTTCAATTTTGGTTTTGTTGAATCCAAAATTCCACAAAGTGCATGTTGTTCATCACCCTTTTCGCTTTGGAATGGGGAAACCAATCTCCAGATTCTATTCTTTGTCATGTCAAATCCAGATTTCCCAAGCATTGTATTGCTGTTATTTGTTTTATTATTATTATTATTATTATTATTTATTATTATCATTATCAAGTGTATAATTTATAGCTGAAAAGTAAAATTGCACACCCCATTCAAAATTTCCTGCCCATAGAGTGATTTTAGGAAGCTGATGTGGCAGAGTGTTAAGCGGGAAAAAAAAAGGAGTCCCGCCTGATTTCAGAACCAAAAAACTGTCCACTACCCACTTTTTTTCTCCTTCCAGGCCCACGTTCTCATTTAATTTGTATTAATTTGCATTTTTTATTTCCGATTTCCCTTCCTTCCACTCTTTCACCTCATTCGAATAAGTTTCTTGGCCTTCAGAAAACCAAACCTTGACTCAATCATCTGGTTCTTTTATGTGCTTGCATCTACCTTTGATTTCCGTTCTCTAAGCGTTAGATTGGTATTGGTTTTGCCGTAAGTTATTCTTCCTCTTTCAGATTTCTGTTTGTTGTTGTCGCTGCT